GCTTAAAGGGCTTCTCCAACCCAAACGATTCCATGATTCTGTGATGAACCATGACAAAACCCGTAGTACAAACATGAAACGATAACTTTGTCCCAGACACTTGGAAACCACAAAGGACGGGGCAGATGGAAAGGAATATCGAGCTCTGAAAGTGGGGGGAAGCAAGATGGAGAAGAACATAGAACACTTCAGATTGTTTTTATGTAGACTTGGGGTGTTTTGGAAGGCAGCAGGCTGTCAGGCCTGGAGGTGTTCTGGAATTGGGTAGGAAAGGATTTCCCTGTCTTTTTAAATTTCTTTCTCCCCCATTCGGTACTGGGCTAAAACTAAGGTTTGTGAAGGGGAAAAAGCAACACAATAGAGGCGGAAAAAATCACCCTCACTCAACTTTAGGACCAAAAAAAAATAGATTTCAAAGATTATTTAAAAAAAATGCATGGAAGGCAAAATAACCCACTAAGGATACCTGGGAAAAAAATCACCTTCACTCAACTTTAGGACCAAAAAAAATAGATTTTAAAGATTATTTAGAAAAAATACATGGAAGGCAAAATAACCCACTAAGGATACCTGCTTGGGTAAGGTGTGCGTCTGCAGGTGAATAACAGAGCTTGAAATGCCAGACCCAACAGCCCAGTACTGCTCGTGCTCCATCTCCATCGTCAGGCAGCCCCAGACCACCAGCACCTTGGCTGTTCGGGGCAAAGGAAGACCTCAAAGCCTCCCTCCCACCAGCCCCCCGGCCCTTTACCTGCCTAGTTACACTCACAGCAGGGCAGGGGCGCAAACATGACCTGGCCCCATTTACCATGAGTGCTTTGGTGACCAACACACAGTCACGGCGTTATTTCACGTGACCTCACATTGTGGTCTGGAACTAAAACACCTCGATGATTCAGTTAACGTCCTCCTAGCACCAGGAACATCACCAGAGGACATTCAGTCTATAAAACACGAGAGATCAGACACTGGCTGGTTTGTTGGCAGGGCAAAGCCACCACCTGCGTTCTCCCTTCAGCTCTCTGAAGCCTGAAACAAAGTTGATTTTTGGTTTTATAATATCTAAATAATAAATAATGTTTATTTTAAGTCATATTCCAATAACGTTTACTTTGGGTAATAACTTTCTGCCCGATGCACGGTCACTGTCGGGTCTCAGGCTACAGCTGGGGAAAGTCCCATCCCTCCTAGCATAGCGCGTAGCCTTGGTTCAAGGAGAAAACGTGTTTTCCAGGTGCCCTGCTTCCAGCATTTACTCCCTGCTTCTTGAAGGTGCCATGTCTAACCCTCTTCTCCATGGAAGGGCATCCCTCTCCTTTCAGCTGACCAGGAACCATGGATGGACAAGGAGGAGAGGACTCTACCTTTTGCTTTCCTCATGGCGTTCTTCATGTCTGTGTTTCTCAGGCTGTAGATGAGTGGGTTC